GGTACCCGGCTCACTATACTAATATTCTAACCCTAATCCTAACCTTACTAATTATTGAACCGGGTACCCCGTATAAGCATTCTAAATCTGGCTACCCTGATTCTGAATCGGGCGGATTCCAATCTGGGGTACGACATATACGTCAATTATTATTATTGAAGTTTAAAAACAAATACTTTTACGTAGCTATAAAAATTTACTATTTGATTTGTTAATCAACATGTGATATTTTTCACATGATAAAAATTTACGATTTTAATTGGCAGAACTAATATGCATGATCGGGATCATCATTTCCATATATAGGACATTCACCCCTATTTGTCATTTTTACGGTTACATAAAAATTTATGTGTGACTGTTGATCAATCACCATAAATATAAATTATTTCTGTAGTTCTTGATATTTCTCACTTTCGAACCATCATGGAAACGCTTAACGAACAACATAATCGAGTTCTAAATCTTTTACAAATTAAAAACAGCCAACTATACAAAGAGTCATTTACTCTAGAATTCATCAATGCGGCAATGGAATATATGTCAAGATGTCAAGATGAAAACCATTTGCGACATAAGTTTTGCACACCTAATTTGTCTGAGATTACCATTGAAATGATACCCTTATTGTCCGTTCACGATGAGGAAGCGTATAAATTTCGGGAGATTATTGAAAGATAACTAATTGAGTACTTCTCATGTATCAAAGCATTTCATATTGGACGAAGGGAACTTTATGTAAGGTAACCTGGCTTTATATTTATAATATCTTCAAACTTTGTCGAACGGGTTTAACTTCTTTTTTTCATTTTTGTCAGATTTGATAATATATACGCAGATAAAAGAGTAAATGTAAATGTATTTTTCGCTAAATTAAAAGAATGGAATAAAAAACGCGTCAAATACGAATTAGAATACATAAAAGACTTCTTGGACTATGTGACTCCCATTGAGCTGATAGGAATACCGAATTCCGCAAGAATTACAACAGCCCTTTTTTAGAAGTTCTTCTTGACCCATTTTTACTAATATTCTTGAACGATTTGTCCGTTGAAATTTTGATCCATTTCCAAAATGACGCGTTATTCAAATTTACACACAGTTATTTGCCGGGTGTGCTCATATTATCGCTACATGAGAGAGCCGAAGTAAGAAATTGGGCACAGACATCACTGAAAGAAATGCGTGAGACTCTTAAGATGCAAGGATTTCAGAGTTGTATTTACTTCTGCAAAAGCTTAAGTATTTCAGCTGTCCTTCTCCTAGGACTGAAATACAATTTATACTTACAAACAATTTGGCTGTTGCTTGGAAAAGGAGTTAAATTAATATTATCTGTCATAGATCAAAGAGTAATTGAAAACTACTTCTTCAGACATGATTTAAACATAATTCTGATACTTTACGACAATCTACGATTTTTTTCCAATATCGAGGAACTTGTTTTTATCGAGATGCTCGGCTGTTTAGAAATTCTTCTGGACAAATTTGAAACCCAATTTGGCGTCAGATATTATATCCACTTTCACCTCCGTATTTTTACAGTGTTTGTTTGATGCATACTTTTCTATCAAGTCAATTCATCATCCAAAAAACTTTTTAAAGTTTTTGCAAAAATTGCGGCAAACGTTTCCCAATATTAGACCATCAAACCAATTGGATGGATCTGCTTCTGAGAGAATTATAACGCTGTCAATTTTAACTGAAGATCCGAATATCATGAAAGACATTTATACGTCTACTTATGAAGAAGAATCAATCATCAGTATTCAACTTCGAGAAATCTTATGGATCAATGTATTCACAGACACATTTGAGACCTTTGTTTCATCCGGAGAATGCTGTTGTAACCGTCAAATTTTCCTCCCAGTGTGTTACCATCCGACGTAGTAAAAGAAAGATCGTATTAGTAATACAAGTCCTTATATATTAAAATCGCCCTGATTAAGTGTGATCAACGTCATTGTACGTACGTACGTACGTACGTACCTGATTCGATATTCTGCGATACCGTGACCTTGTACTACATTCCGATTGGTCAATTTTGATCACAAGACCCAGCCGCAGTACCTACGAAAAGAAGATCCAAGTGTTAACGCAGGTGTTAAAGAAAGAAGTACTTACTAAAGAGACAAGAGAGCACTTATCTTGAGTTCAACACTATTTCTGCTTAATCAATTAACCCTGGTTACTCGGACCAAGTCTTTCCACGCCTCGATCGTTGCATTACCAATATTAGGGTTTGGTTAAAGTAGTTCTTAATTAGTAGCGGTATTTTTGAGTAGTGAGTTATTTTATATAGACCCCCTAACTTTTCCGATGCAGTCCACATAAGTTACACTTTCTCACTGTGCAGAAATGAATGTGTTATTATTAAGATGCATTCATAAAATCATACTTATGGACACAAAACCTCTTCATGATGAACGATTAAAGTTTTTCCATGTCCATTTAAGGAAACTGCATGAAAAAGCAATTGTATTTTTAAAAAAATATTTGCAAACATACTCCGGAAATAATTAGAACTATTTTTCCAATTGAAGAGATTACCTTTTCATTGGTCCATCTCCTCTTTTCAACAGAGAATGAATTAACATTTGATGGTCAAGCACTTTTGGGAATACTGTATCAGGTTAACACTTCTGATGAATTGGTTCAAAAATACGCAACACCTATTATGGAAGGGATACCTCATACATTCGTCAGATGGACTGAATACGGGTGTGATACTTTTAAATTGGCTGAACGTATACGGCAACTATTATTGAATTATTTTTTTCCGCCTATATTTGGTGTTTCGGGCTTATCGAAAAATCAGTCATTGTCTCAGGATATTATTTCATCGATTCATATATATTGGCATGCTTCATAGTGTGCGATTACTCAAGTGTTCAAAAAATATCATGATCATAATTTAGTTTCTGCAACAATTCATGATCTGGTTACGCGGAACTAGCAACTCATATGTTACAGCAACATCCAGATCCAGTTTTTGTCTCTCCTCTTAGACTGACAGAACCGATTTGTGAAGCTTTACAATATATCAGTGGTTTTGTCAGAATTCAGTAACGGGGATCTAAAAAAAAATTAGATGGATTAATTGGTGATATATGTAATGTTCTGACCGCTACAAGTAGACATCAAAAAAGTCGAAAAGAAGGATTTGAAAAGTGAGGTTTAAATAAAGGTTTTTCAGGTTCTAGAACCTCGAAACTTAGAGTAGCTGGTTAATAAATCTTAATAATAAATTAATAAATAAATACACGAATGCGATAGTTTTGAGTGCTGAAATGCAAAATCAATTAAATCCAAAATTATCAAGACTGCAAAGTTTTTATTATGGTTAAAAATATTAGTATATGGGATCTTTGCTATTAAAATGCACAAGATTTTTATTACGAAAAACATAGTAAATCTATTTTTAGAAAAAAATTCATAGCAAAGACCCGTATAGTGTTAACATGAATGATTATTTTTTTTAGTTTTTAATTTTATATGGTCATACAAACTTAATAAATACAAACTTAATAAATTGGTTCTCATAACCCGGCCCGGTTAAATTTCGCAAAATTCTTAAAAATTTTTTTGACCATATTTACTATCCGGGTGAAGTTTTTTTTAGAAGTTTATAAAATTTTTATATAGAAAATTTTTCGAAAATAAAATTAAAAGTCGGGTTGCTGGGTCATGTTTCAACTTTTATGTTATGTAAACTAAAACAGTAACTTTGTATGGGATAATGATTTGTAATGCATGCAGGATTTAGGTTCTGTTGCTGCATAAAATGGTGAGCCCTAAACCCGATCATGTGTATTGGTTTAGTCAATCAAATCGTAAATTTTTGTCATATGAAAATTTCAGATATTAATTAACCAATAAAAATCGTAAATTTTTAAGTGTATGAAACACGGGTATATATGTAGTGTAAAATTTTACTAATAAAATAGCCTTTGAGCTCTAATAAAAGAAAGTGCGTAAAATTTAGTATCCTAACCCAAACATTAAGCCATAACCTTAATCTAGATTAATTTTGGTTTTTTTTATGTTACATGAATTTACATATTATTCCAGTGATTACTTATTTGCGCGAGTAATACAAACTAGGGATGTTATCCTGTTCCAACAGGTTAATTTGTGCTTAAAAACTCGTTAGAACTGTTTCAAACTACATACGTGAAATTGGTTATCAAGCTCAGTTTAATAAAATATACTAATAATTTGATTGCTCAAACAAGTCTGCTTTGTTATCGCGATTTAAAAGAGCAAATACATAAATTTTACATTTGTAAAATATACATATTATACATTTACAATTTTTATTACACCTATCATTATTGCTTATTTATTGACCTACACAATAATGTTTAGTTTATTAAACTTCTATACAGTCGATAATACTTGATTCATACCACGTTTTTAAGCAAAACTTGCAGAAACATTTCTTCAGATAATCAATTACGTATTGATTAATCGCATTTTTGGTTTTAGAAAACCGATTTAATAGTGAAAAGGCCCGTATCCAATGAAAAAAAAATTTATCGCAATATTTGCATTATCGTTTATCGGTGGTTTTTATTAAGTTCATCCCAAAAGGGATCCGATATTATTCGTTTGTAGGGTGATTGGTTATTTCTGGAAGTTCTTCGTATTCAAATGTATTTTGAGAAGTCGATGAGATAAGTTCAATAAGGTTAATAAATGAATCATTAGGGCTAGAACCGATTACTCATAACTCTGGTCAAATTTGCCGATCGTTGGCCAAGTTCAAAATGATTTAATTCTGAATCTGGCCAATTGATCTGCAAATTTGACTAGAGTTATAAGTAATCGGTTCTACTATTTAGATAACAATCAAAATTAGCCCTTACGTCAAGTACGCTTTCTTCATCCATTTTACGAAGTAAAAAAATAAAAAAATAAAAAAGAATCGTTTATTTTATTAAAAAAAAGGGGAAAGTCTAATTATTGCGGTTTGCAAAATTTCCGATTTCTTTGATTTTAGATTAGGCAAAATTTGTGCATTTATTATTTTGTAAAAATTTTATTATTTTTTATAGAAATAAAAGTTGCATAATCATCATTTTGTAATATATTTGCAGAAATTGGAGTTGCGCATTAAAATATTCAATCAAATTTTTTTTTCAAATGGTAAATGCGCAAATTTTGTCTTGTCTAAAAGTCAAAAAAAAATGTTAAAGAAATCGAAAATCAGTAATCGGAAATCAGTGATTGCTTTTTTTTTTTAATGATCTTCAAATTCACATAATTTTGCAAACCGCAATAATCTAATTTTCGTTACATCATATCTCAATAATTATGAAAAAAGCTGATTGTTTCCTATCAACGTAATGTCGTAATTAACTTTTAAAAGAGGCCAATTTTCGTTATATCAACGTATTGCCATAATAAATCAAAGGAAGCTATGTTTTGTCAATGACGGTAGTAATAAGCATTTTATCGGTTTCAAATTCGGCTTCAAATATCACATGAACTACTGCTCAAATAGTGATTATTTTAGACTTAAAGGGCTTCTATAAATTAGTCTAATTTGCCTAAGTATAAAATTTACACAAAACACTTGTTGGAATAATTCAAACCAAGTAATTCAAACTTCGAATATCTCACGACCTATCGCACAAATAGTGATGCTTTTATGCTTAGGATAGTTCTAGAAATCAGCC